GACATGCTCTGGGGGATCAGGTTAATTGGGGACTTTAAATTGCCCGTAGTTGTGTGAATGTGAGTGTGAATGGTTGTATGTCTCTGTGTCGCCCTGCGATTGGCTGGCGACCAATCCAGGATGTACCCTGTCTATCGCCCGAAGTTGGCTGGGATGGACTCCAGGCCCCCCGTGACCCTGTGTGCAGGATAAGCGGTTTGACAATGGATGGATGGATGGATGGACCTCGTCGCTGTGTGACGCCTGACTGACAGTCTGTGGTCGTCTGTAAGTAGTGATAGAAGAAGAAGAGGTACTCTGTGGTCGTCTGTAAGTAGTGGTAGAAGAAGAAGAGGTGCTCCATGTGGACATGAAGGACAAAGCTGTGTGTGAGAGTGATGTAATGTCCATGTCTCCATGCTGCTCTGACCCCCCTCCTCCTTTCAGGGTGGAGCCTGATGGAGTCCGATGGTTGAGACCAGGTCAGAGGAAGTGTAAGTGTGCTTTTATTCATGAAGATTCAACCATCTTCCCACTGTGACATAACTCATTCACCTCTGTGACGGGGGGGGGGGGGGGGGGGGGGCGGACCACACAGAGGAGACTAAGGTGTGTCCCCGTCTGTGCCACATCTGTGCCACATCATGTTGTCATCGGGCCGAAGCGGGAAAAAAAAGGGACACGGCCCAAAGTTTTGTTTGGTGAACTGAAACCATAAACTCTCCCACCAAAAGGTTTTCAGGTATATATTTAGCTTTAAGGGCCGTGGTGGCTTAAAATCGTATTATTTTTTATTTCTTTATGGGAAACAACTTGATACTCTTCTCGGTTTAACAACAGTAGAAGCAGGTGACTAAATTGGCCAGATATGAGTGCAAACAATGCTTGTTGGTCTACTTTTTTGCCCTTTGTAATTATGCTCTTTGTTCAAACTATGCACTCTCTTTGCTTATGACCACTAGTATCTACCACAGACTTTTTTTTCCGCCCTTCATAAATAGGTTTGTTTTGTTTCCTTTTTTTTTTAAATCTTCAAATGACTTGAACCAGTTATGTTAAGATAACTCATTATGCTTGTAGATCTTTGGCTTTATTTGTCATTGGGATGCAGTACACCCAAAATTTAACACTTTCCTCTCAATAAATACGAGAAACAATTTTGTAAATTTCCAGAACCAGCAGTGATTCTGCCATTGTTTCCTTTCATTTCAGTTTGTAGATTTCCGTTTGTTTGTCTGTTTATTTGTTTTCACGGTCTTGTCAAACCTGTGTAAGGATAAGAGGATAGAAGTTATATTGGTTTTTATGTCAATAAATTCAAGTTTACTGTGGCCATCCACTCTTGTATGTCTTTTGAAGCATTAAAACCTATTTGTATGCATGAAATTGTAAAGTTTTTTTCTCGTGTTATGATATCCAGCCCACGTGTTATTGATCGGGATACATCGGTTCTTCAATGATGAATAAAGGGTCATGTCCACAATTGTGAAGTGGAGAGAAAATGATGAACTTGTAACTTACCAAAGCCAATGTTCGTTTGTAGTATATTTATTGTATTATTTAAAATAAAAAAATAAACATTAAATGATACCATAGTTTAAGTGTAAGAGGCCCCCTCTTTACATGCACACAGGACAACGAAAGGTTTTGTTAAAAAAAAGTGATATATTCACCACATTTCTTGTTACTGGAGCCTTTCGCGAAGCGTTTGGCAACATCTGTTTTAAGATACAGCTGTGCTTGTGAGGTTTGCTAGATGAATGACAGGTAAGGCTACTGTCCACTCAGCCTCGTGGACGGTTGGTCGTGTCAAACAGCCGCGGGGCTGCGGCCTCGTGATCGGGACGTGCGGCTTCCCCTCCCGTCGACTCTTCTCCGGCCGAAGAACCGGCCCCAAGAACCGGCCCCGAGAACCGGCCCCGAGAACCGGCCCCGAGAACCGGCTTGCAGAGCACCACTGCCGCCGTGGAAGCTGCATCATGACTCTTGCAGCGTTATGCATTTCTCCATAACCTTTCTCAGCGATCATTAAAATAAACCTATTCTTATTTTAACTCCCTCATTCAGAAATGTGTAATATTTGGTGCTGATGACTTGCAGCACTTCGAATGTCTGATTAGTGGGAAAAAGTGCACGTTAAGCTTAGCACAGCAAAAGAAACCGAAAAAAAAAAGTTGTTGAGCGTGATGATCAATATTTAATGCCGTGTTTACAGGACGGATTCAGGGTGATCAGAATGCGCGGATTCTACTGAGTAAAGCAGAAAGCAAATTCCTTATCAGGCACAGAACTGCTCGCGATGCAGGGCTGATAAGTGGGGCATCAAAGTGCGCTGAGGACGGGGAAAAAAAGCCCAAAAATAAATGATACAGCTCCTTCCAATTATGGCAACGAGCGACGTGTCAAAGGACCACAGCAGCATCCCAGTGCGATGACCGCGGAGAGGTCACTTGGGGTCAAATGGAGAAAACGTGACGCTCTCTCGGGGATTTATGGTGCGAGCCGAGACGGAGCTGCCCGACGATGAGGACACCGCATCTCCTGCTTCTCACAGTTCACACAGCAGCAAACCGGTAGACCTTTGGCTAACAGAGCCCATTCATAGCCGAGCTCCGGCGCCGCCGACCTACTTGCATACGAATCAGACAGCGGAGAACGAGATAGTGTTGCAAACACAGGGGCCGTCCTGTTGCCTCATCAGTTACAGGCTTCTCCACGCTGATGGACTTTGGGTCTGATAAGTGGCTGCGCTTCAACATGTTGGGTTCTTGTTGTGTGATTATGGGCCGCGGCCACCAGAGCAGTGCAATCTGCAGCAAAAATCCACAAAAATACCCCGCCGGGGGAGGGGGGGGGGGGGTCGGGCAGGTGTCAATCAAGGAGTATACCCGCCGATGCAGAGCGGAGAAGGTCTCTGCAGCTGAGTGTCGACAGGTGCTGTGCAGAGGCTGCAGACGCCAGATTTATGAATGTGATTTATGTTTATAAATGCTCCAAATGTAAAAATATTCAAAATCCATTATTATCTGTGGCCGGTCTGTTTACTTGGTTCTACAAGCGTGGAATCGTTCACGTGGCATATATAAGAAAGGTAATGAATTTTACACTTAGAGATTAAAAGAGCTAATGATCACACGATAATACTGTCCTCCGAGACCAGGGGGGACAAAAAAAGGAAAAGCAGAGAAACTGCAGGGGAGATGTTTGATGTGTAAATGCATCACACACAGCCGGTGATGTTTTCCCAGTGGAAATGCAGGTAAATAACCCATGAGTTTGTTTTCATATTTAGAAAGATATTCAAATAAGTGTCAGCAGATATCATCACGGAGAATGAATTAATCATGTTGTCCTCTGCTTTTTTTATTTTGTCGTTTTTTTCCAGCTTTTGTCACAAACAGCTGTTGTTCTCACACCCAGTTCCTCAGAAGAGTCTCGGGCGTCTCACGCGTTCAAATCTTCAAGGTTAGAAGTTTATACAAATTAAAGAACACAAACACACTTTTGACCGGCACTGTATATAAAACTACCACATGCTGTGTTTCAGTGTCGTATGACGCATGTGTCATCGCATCGCTGTGATGCATTTTGGGTTAAAAAGGTTGGAAGATACGACTTTGAACCCTCTCTCAGCGGGAGAAGCTTTGTCCCGCTCACGTAAAACTTTAAGCACACTCATTTAAATAGATCCACTTGTTTCACGGCCAGAAGGAAGAGCATATGCCCTTGCCCCCCCCCCCCCCAGCACCCCATCCCTTCACTCACATACAGTAGCTCTGTTCTATTTCCAGGAGCTTTGAAGCTGGAGGCCTCTCATCCTCTCTCTGGTGGTCCCGTGCAGTGAGATGGGGGGATGGAGGGCGGGGGGGTGATGGAGACCCATTGGGGTTCTATGGCCCTAAATTATTAAAGGGGAGCACTCTGCTAAGGTCCTAGAACTACGGGAACGGTCTCCGTCCAACTGTAATGGGCAATTTAGTGCTGGTAGAGACCCACTAACAAGGTGGAAGGACCTTCCTATCAAAGGCTATCTCACTTTCAGGCCTTTTAGTGTTTGTCGAAATGACACAAGTGCGAACCGCACCCGGGAAGAACCACTTCCAAAGGTCCTAGAACCAGCAGCCAAGGACGGGCCCACGTTAACACCATTAATTACCTTTCATGGACACAGTGTGAGAGCAGCTTTTTTTTTTCTCCCCCCCCCTTGACGTCCTTCAAGAGAGACAAACAAGGACGAGAATATTAGTCCAGCCTGGTGTCGGAGAAATGAAACATGCCAATTTCCAAAGTTATGGCATGTGCTGCCACAACGCCACTGCGGTACATCTGAGGTGTCATTCCACACACGTCCGATCTGTACCGACCAGCAGCCACCGGAACAAAAACTAAGATTGGAGATTTTTAGATTTAGGTCCTTTCAAACAGGCCTTTAGGGGGAAGTCTGATAGTAAATTTATATATTGGATATTGAATATAAATGGTATTCTCACTTGATGAGCTACTGCTGTAAACATTGTAAACATGACTGTATTATTGTCTCAAAACAAACAAGCATGAAGAACAAGTGTAAATCCCAGTTATAAAATATCATGCACAACGACTGGTGTGAATTCCCTTTTGAATCTGGACGAAATGTTCCCGCTGATTTAACTGTGATGGAGGTGAAGGTGCAGCGTGCTGTTCTCTCCGGTGTGCACGGAGAAAGATGCCGTGGAAGATGGATCTCTTCGATGGTTTGACATTTAGAGACTGAAGACATTATAAATGGAAGACGTTAGGTGGATGAGCACAGACACCATTAAAGTTCACTCACACTTTCAATTGGGAGATTTTTATCTGCTGTTGTCGGTCAACAAACAACTTCTTAACAATCTTCTTTCGGCTGTCGCGTTCCGTTTCCTCTCCTCTCCTGACAGATGGTGCACGTCTTTGCTGATGAATACAACATACAGTGCACTTGTTAATCATTCGTGTGCGCACTGAGCTGTGTGGTTGCTTTAGTATTTCAAGGATTCAGCCAAACACTCCTGAAACAGTTTTTCGCAAACATTTCGGACTCATTATTTCTTTAACGAGTTCATCATTGGAGCTGTGAGTTGTTTACAGTGGTGTGAAATGTAATGCATTTTTTAATCCGGGTTTGGTTGGGATTATGTTGCATTGGTTCAAGGAGAATGCGCGTGACTAATTAGCCATTATTAGAAAATATTAACAATTTGCAAATTCATGTTTTTGTTTGCTTAATGTCTACTGAAGGGGATATTTAATGGATTTTTTTTTTTTACTTTTTCAGTTATCATTGACATACGTTTTTGTATCTAAAGTGCCTACTGACTTTCAAGCCGGGAAATAAGACACGATCAGATTCTTTCAGCGTTCTACTTCTGCAACCTGTGACTCAACGAGCTATTCAGACCGTTCTTACGTCACATACAGGCTCGTTGGAATATACCGCCCTGCATCGAGTACTTCCAATCACTACGGGAAACCTACCTTTGGCAAATTCACACCCTATTTTTATCAGAAACCTTTCCCAGTAGATTGGGCTTTTTTCAGGAAAGGCTCTTAAACAGAATGATGCAAAAAAAAAACGAACAGAGGGTGAATATGCAGACACACACACACATGAGTAAAAATAACATTAAAATAATTTACCTGAAACGTGATCATGAAATATCCCCTTTTAGATATATTGCAAAAAAATAGCATTTACGTGAGGAAAGATATGCAAACATACAAACATTTCCGTCGTTCTTCTCGGGTGGGAATCCTCATCTCTCAGCTCACCATCAGCATTTGTTTAACAGGATCAGGTGATAAAATGATTTCAGTGCAACTCAACTGAATATTTCATGACGCTGGCGGAAGCTATCGACAGCGCGATCTCTCTTTGTTCCCCTTTGCTTTTATTTGGCATTAAATCATTTCTGCAATGACAAAATATACAATCCAGTTTCTTGACTAAAACGTTTGCATGAATTAGTGCAGAGAGACTTGTTTATGCTTCCCCTTGAAACCCCCCGGCTTTGTGTTCTATATATCAAAATACAAAGCGAGGACCGAGGCCCCTCCTCTGTAGCTCTGCAGACTGAGACACTGACCCTAATAGACTCTAAAACAGCCACCGGTCGGCTCCTTGGACCGGCCTTGACTGCATCCAGTGCCTGCGACACTTCAGTCCGTGTCGTACGTGCGGCCGTTTAAATGATTTGTAATACTGTTTCTACGACGCGGGGTTTATCATTCCGCGTGGGCGTGCGCGTACATCCAGCTGAAGTCGCCAATCCTTGTATTTTGTCCCTGAGCCCTTGTGATAACTTTTCTTTTGCTGTTTTTAACATTTGAAAAACCCAAGGGTATCCAACTTGCCAAAAGTTGATTTTTTTATTGATTAGAGTCACCTGGATTCATCCACCTTCAATGCATCCTGGGCAAAAAAAAGACATCATTTAAAAAAACAAAAAAGAAGGGAATATTGAATTACGGATGTGTGAATGTACCACCTGGGGTCACAGCGCATGGAGGTAATTCATCACTGTCATTTCATCAACAACACCTTCCCAGCAGGTCAAAAAGCCTCCTCTGATTAAACATCAGGCTGTGCTGCCAAGGAGAGTCAAACCAGTGAAGCATTTTGGGCCTGAAGGAGCCTCTTTATGTAGTCGGCTAAGCAAGACCGATCTCCAGCCTTTCGTATGAGAACCATCTCGTTTTAATGAGGTTATTTGTCTTAGAGCAGTTCAACAACGTTTGTCCGAGGCCTTTTGTTTGCTCCGAAAATAGAAAACTGCAACCTAATTGGTTTCTGTTCATGGTAACGTGGCCAACAACATAGCGTTTTTGTTATGATGCCATTCAATAAAAACATCGACAATCACGGTTTCAGAACAATGAGTATCTCAAAAATACATATGAATAAAAATACAATGATAATTGTGTTTGCAAAGCTAATATACTTATTACAGCCAGGTCTGTTATACTACATTATTATGTTCATTAAAGCATAATGTAAACGAAATTAACATACATTAATAACTACCTTTTTTCAATGCTTAGGGTTTTTATTTCATTTAAATTACAGTTAAGTTTCCCAGAGAATTGTGGCACGTCGTATCAGGACGAGTTCATGTGTGATTAATATCCTTTCCAATAAATCCATTACATTCAGATTTACTAAATACATGAGCTTGGTTTTCTATGTTCCAGCTGTGTGACCCTTTTGTTAAAAACATTGTATCTTTAATATCATTGATTATAAGTTGAGTGTACCCAAAATAACCAACTCATGATTTTAAAGAGCAACACACCGTCAACTAAAGTTTTATGTTCTTGTTCTTCTGATACTGGGAATGACATCTGTAGGACTGGGCCGAGCTCTTTGTGACTGATGGGAGAATCATTTATTTAAAGCTATCAGGTTGACACTGATCGCCGCTGTCATCAGGCGTCTCCCTGGTAACAGCAGTAGCCCGCGCCGCAACCGTCTTCAGTTCAACACAGTGAACGCATTAGACGGACCTTCCGCAAGAACATTTTCACTATTTTATTGTACTTCTTTTACAGCAGGCGGCATGTGCCACGTCGGCTTCAGCAGACCCTCTTCCCTTATAAACCGTGTTAACATCCATTAAACATGATGGAAGCTGCATGTACCTTCACAATAACACACGCAGAGTGCCCCATACAACCTATGTTGAGATCCATGAAGAGAAAATCAATAGATATTGAGAGCGAAGGGAAGGGACCTCTCATATCCGAGGAATGGCATAAAGGCGGTCGATGACTGCAACAGGCGAGGGTTTAAATAATTACGGTTGTTTAGCATATTGAGATATTCATATTGTAGTAGAATGGCAGGCTAGGTTATATTATGGATACTTTTGGGATTATATTCGCCTTTATTTTGCATCGAAATGTATAATGTCAACACTATCAAAAGGTGTAATTTATTTAGGGTTCTCAAAACGGTTTCAAACTTATGAAATACTGAATCCATTAGTGAAAAACCTTTGCTTGGATAACAGCAGACTTATTGAATGTGACTCAGAATCTAAAGCTTTATTCTCTTTTTATGCTTATGCATTAACTCCGGTTACATGTGCTCTCCATTACAACAACACAGCAAATACAATATCACAGCTGGATGTGGAGATGCCGAGGACCTCCCGCCACAAGTACAACAAAGACGTTTCACCATCAAATCCCAGCCGGATCAAACAAACCTGGCTGATGCATCTTTAATGGCGGCTGCGCCGGCATCACTGGGCATTATCTTGTAACGGAATAATCCACCCTCAGGTATTCTTACACTGTCAATCATCATCAACAGGTGACGTTCCTGTGATTGTAGCTATGCCGCTTCTATGGGGGACCCGTTTTACGCCGACCGCCATCGACTTCTGCTCCAGCTTGTGACTTCCTGTTCCCCTAAAGGCTTTCGGCGAAACCCAGAGAAAAAATAGGCTTTTTATACAGAGGTGGAAATAACAGCATGTAAGCCGGCCAATTAGTACAGGCGGACTGGCGAGCGTCTGCCACGGCTGTCATGCTGGATGTTCTGATTGTGGTTGCTATTCTGGTCTGTTGTGGTCCACACGTCCTACAGCTCCAGGATGTCCTCAGGCCCGATGCCCCGGGCCCCTCGTTACCGTTGGACACGCCTGGAGAACCTCTGGAAGAAGGATGTCAGGAGACATCCCAATCGGACGCTTGAACCTCCTACAAAAAAATACAAAAATCCTCGTGGCGTTGCGGCATAGAAAACTGAGGATGACAGAGGTGAAAGATTAGAAGTCGCGCAGCTGTGGAAGTTTCACAATGCGACGTTTTGTGCTGTGGACTTACTGTTTGATGAGTGACAGAAGAACTCAGATCAAGCATTCAAGGAACGCGAGAACACAATATGGTGGAGGGAGAAGTGCACAGGCTGTTCAACATGATGTATTACGTTTACCAAGACAACAGTATGTCGTGACAAGCTGTTTAATCCGTTTTTTTTTTTATATCCAAGCCTCTATATCTTCAGGCGGGGAGGCAACAGACAGTATAGTGTTTCATTGTGGTGAAGAAATCTCGTGCTTAGATCTTCGCTATGAACGGCGATGAGAAAGACAAACACCTGAGAGGCGCTTCGAGGTAACGGAGCGTCCATCCGTCCTTTAGATGTCATATGCCAGACGTGGCGGATATCAGCCCGCTGAGTGGAGATGGAAATAAGACAAAAGCGCCTCATTAACGGTCCATTTCGGATTCTTTACTTCTCTGCAATAAATGGATTTGCTTTCATTTTTATTCCCTTTTCAGTTCAGTCTGCTGCTCTTACTCTCGTGCACATATGCGTATCCGTCATTTCCACTAGTGAATGAACTCCATTAATGATAAATCAAGAAGATATATTTCTCCATTCTGCTCTAAAATACACACTCACACACATTCACGTCGGCAACTTTTCATGAGTTATAAGGGGTCTCATGAGCATGTACTTTTCCTCTTTTCTAATTCAAACCCACGGCATTGAATTAGGGACGTTCTCGACCAGAATAGTAGACTATCGCCAAAATCCAGACGCTTCTTCGTGCCCCCCCCCCCCCCCTCCTCCATAACATTTGTTGCTGTCAAATGCTGTTCGGTTGAGGAGATTTTGCGAGCGATGCTGCAGCCGTGCCCGTCCGACGCGTAGATGCTACTGGGCGCCAGCGCAGACTTGCCGTTGTGCCGTTGTGCGACGAGGGTTTTCGCGCAGAAAGCAGCTCTGACTGGCTGTGTGATGTCTCACTAACCGCAGGCAGTCGCCACCGAGACACGCGAGGATGTGAATGGGGTCGTTTTCACCGAAGGTGCAGCGTGGATTTACAAGTTTTCTGGAACAAGTCAAGGTGTGATGCGTCGCCTCCGAGGACTCTGAATTGCTAATTACGGTGTGGCCCAGTTTGGAAGACAACTCGGGAACAATAATGTGAACCTGCACCCCGGATGCCTGGAAACACACTGCGCTTCGCTGTGAAAGGCAACGGCAATTAGCAGGATTGCACCTGTCTGGGAACGACCCGCTAGGGGTTCACACAGTGGTCCTGATACGCAGCTTAGCGTCACGTCTATTCCTGGCTGTCGGGTCCGTGCTGCACCCCGCGATCGTCTATTAGCTTCGACGAGAGCGGAACCCTGCAGCAGTACGGGGGGGGTGCATCATTATGGGAGCCACGTCTGCTGCAGGAGCCCGGTAGCTACGGCCCTTCGCTGTGGTGCAACTGCTGACAGGATGGAATTGAACCCAGTTTGAGCTGCGAGAGTGAAGGCCGTGACCGTGAGAATTCGCCGGCGGACTCCCAGACATCACGGCGGTCGATTACGAGGTCCGTTTGCGCCAAACATCCAGTGTACAAATGTGATCGGTGGTTGTGAACGTTTTTTTGCCTCCTTGCACATGTGAGGGAAAGGTCCAGCGATACTCCAGCGATAGTTAGTCTAAGGAATGATGTCACAGCCTGTCTCGTGTGGACATTTTGGGTTGGAAAGACATCATTTAAGCTCATCGTTGTTCTGACATTAAGTGCCTATGAGCGGTATTGATGGTTTCATCACACATGGTTACATCAACAACATGATCTGCATACTTTCCAAAAACTTGCTCTGAGACATCTCAAAAATCCATGCTGCTGTGAAAGCTCCTTCTTACCAATCTTCATGTGATCATCGGGTCATTGGTGACTCGTTACTGAACACGGCATCGCTATGTCCACTTCCTGTTTCCTCCTCTTTCTCTAGTCGGCTTCTTCTCCTCGATTATTTCAACAGCTGCTGATGTGCTGGAATCCACTGATTTAACACCAAAGTCAACGGGAAGTCGAAGGGGGCGGAATGACTTTCACAGGCCTGTCGGAGTTGGCTGCACAGCCGTCCGATCTTTGGACGGGGGGGCAGGGGGGTGGGCTTTGCACGGGGAGGGAATTGAATCCGGAGGGAACGAGAGGAGGCCGTGTGATGTCATATATATTGCGACGGATCCGCGGAGAGAGGTGTGGTATCACTCATTACAACGGAGCGGAACGGTGTGACATGACAACTGGCTCCCGGAGCCGTAGCCTCCAACATGGTCTCATGTATGCGAGGGGGGAGGGGGGGCAGTAACTGACTGAGCAGCGTGCTGTGGGGGCGTGATTCAGCGCCACAGCCATGAATTTGCATCGACGTTACGCTTGTGAAAAAGGCCAGACGGCCTTCACGGTGTCGCCAATATCTGAGGGAACGTCGGGTTCATTCATCATCCCTCCCGTCGTCGGACGCGGCGTGGGAGCAAACCAATCTTCGGAGGGAGGGGGGGGGGGGGGGGCGTGGCTAACGGCTGTGCGGTCGCCATGTTTTTTTGTTGTTGCTGTAAATTAAAGAAAAATGTCTCGTGTATTTACTTTGGCACGGAAATAGCTTTCGTCCCGCGGCCCACGCGGCTCTCTCAGTCGGTGCATTATTAATGATGTTGTGCCGCGAAAAAACACTGCAAGTGTCCAGTACAGGACGGGGCTGCGACTCATGAGGGAGGAATAAGAGAGTGATGCAAGACGATCAGGCCCCCCTTCCCCCCCCGGCTCTGACACTGATAGCGTTGTGTCAACTACGCAACGGGCCAAGAGCCGCTTGAGTCCTTTTCCTGTGCTGTGGGAAATGCTCCAAAATGAAAGCAAGTTGCATTAGTTTTGGTTCAGTAGTGACAGTGGAAGGGCTCAGTATTTTCACTGTGACACACTCCTTAGTTCCAGGATGCAAATTGGACCTGTAAGGCTCGGTGCCAGGATCCTTGTGACTTGGGCTCATTTAGGCATAAACTGCCCTCAGAGGGAGGAAGCGAGCCGGGTGGGGGGAAGGGGGGGAATTGGCCGAGTCGCAGAGCATCCAGCACCTGATTCTCAGCTCGGACAGATGGCGGAGTTGCAGCACGATGGCACGAACACGGGAGAGGAAGAGGCAGAGGCAGAGCAGCAGCATCATCATCATCATCTCAGTGTTCCCTCGGGCGCATGGCCAAGAAACTCAATGTTTCACGAGGATCAAAGTATCTGTGCGACACCTGTGTGACTGAACATGAGACATTGGATCATGGGGCTTTGCCATAACAGCTGTCGGGGGGGTCGGGCGGGGGGGTGCTGGTCACGGCGGCCGGCGCTGAGTCACGGCCCCCGTCGGCGGGCCACTTATTTCCTCATGACGTGAGGATGCGAAAAGAGCTTTTTGGACCATTTGTGCAGTCGGTATTAGCTGCACCCTTCGTAAAGCTCCCCCGGTTTCTCAGTGTTAATCCACCAAGATCCGTCTCCCCGTGATGAACAGAGCTAATAAAGGCCTGGTCGGACAGAAGCTGTTGATAACACGTTACCCCCCCCCATCTAATCCCCCTTCTAATTAGAGAAACAACAACACAAGAAGGGAAAATGAAAAGAGATGGTGCCAGACTCCCAATGGGTTGCATTTTAATTTTTAACTAAATGACAGTCCATAGTGGCAGATTCGTATGCACCATTCATCGCGAAGCACAATGCTGCCGAGGGTTTTTGTTTTTTAAACCGTACCAGAAGTTTCTCGATTGATTTCATTCCTTCCAGGCAGCCGTTTGTTTTCCAGACAGTGGTTTCATTTCGGCTCTCGAGAAAACCTCATTAACTTAGAGATGAATTCTAAATGGCTCGTTATAGATAATCCGTCCGTCACAGTGAACTTAGATCGGAATCCTTTTTTTTTTGGGTGGGGGAGGTGGGGGGGTTTGGGCGGAGGAATATGTGGAATTTCTCGTTGTTGGAGACAATGAAATGAAATCAAAAACCCTCAGGCTGACAAAGCGCTATCCTTTTAAAACTGCATTCATCACAATCTAATCTATTTGCACGATGGAAACACAGCACACGGGTAATTAGCATTTGTCAGACGACCAAAGTAACAACTGGTTAACATGGCCGATGAATGTCAAACGTCATGTCGCTGTTTTTTCCCCCCAAAAGAGGAAGAGAAGTCAAATGTATTGTAAAAAAAAAACGTTCTTGGCATAGATTGAAATTAAAACTTTTAAAATGATAGTAATCCTTACAACCTGCTGATGAGGAGGAGGCTGTTGTTTGGTCTTTACACCATTTCCCACTCGATTGCATCGTTTTTTCAGCATTCTATGAGGGTGGCACTATTTGTGTGTGTGTGTGTGTGTGTGTGTGTGTGTGTACTTTTTGTGAATAAAGGAGGCAAAGCTAGAAAGATGGTCCCTTTGACAGCATCCAATCCTGTCACCTCCAAACCTGGCACAGTCACTCCATCCACCTCCACTTTGTCTGGATGCCCTATTTTGTCCCTCGGGGGACGTCTATTGCTGTCCTGAATTTAAATCTTCTCTTTCCTCTTGCACTGCATGGTCTCCCGTTCCCTCTGACTCTTTGTTTGCCTTCGCTATCTGACTCTTTCTCTCACACCAACCACCAATTTTCTTTCACTCGGCTAATATATTCCATCACTCGCTGTGATTTTCCGCCGCTCCTCACCCTTCCTCTGTGTGGTTGGACATCATTGTTGTCCTTTCCTCTCACAATATAAAAGGCAAGCAAGCGGGGGAAGGTTTTATATTTCTCAGGGTGCCGGGATGGTAATGATGCTGTAATACTACAATGCTGCACACAACGAGAGTAAAAGAGATGCGGGTATCGAACGGGGAAAACATCTCAATATGGTTTTATCTTTGTACGAACGGCATGGATATGGTTTTGGGCATTTCAAATCGTTTTTATGATTCCCTTCTTTGGCTGTTACATATCAAAGCGACTGCTACGTGAAGCTGCTGTTGTGATGATACTTTGCTGAACCCAGAGAATAGAAAGTAGAGTGATGAAAAGGAAGGTGTAACTCAAGCGTCTCTCTCTCTCTCGGAGACCAAATAAAGGTCCATTTACTTCAGGAAGCCCCGCCTGTCAGGGGTTATAAACATTTATAGCGCTATGAGGGGAGTGATCTCTAATTGGCTCGGCATGCTTTGCAATAAAAGCGCCACCGGTGACTTTTATCCCTTACGGAAAGTCACAGGAAATACGGACCGACCGGCCGGCCAACAGGTGCTTCCAATAAACCAGAATTGGAATTTTTGCATCATCACTGTTGAAATTTCTCCCCACGGAAGACTGACACAACTCTCTTGCTTTTCTTTTTTCAAATAGAATTGGTGAGAGAGCCAGACGGGCCCGAAGGGTGGTGTCGACCCATCATCCCCTGCACCGACACACATAACTACAGCAGTGTCTTCCAGATCACAGGCGTATCAATGCCAGGCAGCATTCCGTGCAAACTGAGTCTTCAGTGACCAGCTGAGAGCAGCATTAGCAGACAATGAAGCTTAACGGTCCACTCTCTCTGCGGGCAAATCCTCATCTCCTCCTCCCACGGACGCTCCATCCTCTGGAGGAAGGTGTTGGACCTCTTGCTGAGGCTCAACAACTCAACATTCCGGAAAAATGCCCCCAATACCTTTTTTTCCTTGACCTTTCGTATGATGTAAGTCAAATGTGCGGTGTCTTCTTACTGGTCCGCAAGCTAGCTGGGAGACATAGAACCGTCTGTATAAATGGTTACTGGCATCGATGGACCAGCAGCCGCAAATTTAATTGCCTCGATTATATTAACTTGAGAAAAAGCAGGCAGGATGTTCAATTACCCCTTCCTGTTCCTGTTGGGAGGAAGTAGCTGAGAGGGGTTGAGCTCAACTAACTGTCAGTTAAAAGCAGTGGATGTGCCTTTAACAATATTATTATACAGTAAAAATAAAAGCTTCAGAATTTCCTTAATTTTAGGAGTTATTTTATCTCATCCTCCCTGCAGAGTTTAGGAGAAAGACAAAAAAACAAATACAAATTTCTAAGGGCTTCTAATGATGCCCAATGTGATGCAAATTACTCATTCATAGCCACTGCTTGGCTTCTCCTAAAATAGATGGGGGACTGGGAGGGAGGGAGGGATGGGGGGGCGACCTAATGATGTTTGGATGGAATCTCTGTTCTACATCAGGGTTTCAAATTTGCTTGCAAACACAATGTCTTTTCTAACGATATTTCAACCAAATAGAACACAGAGCGAAACCCTGATGAAGCCTTGCAGACACTTGTTCAAATTACATCAGACATCCTGTTTCACAATGAGTCTTCAGCGCCGCCACCGTCACACGGATAATTTCCTTTCCTTGCCTTTTTGATCAAATGGTGTCATTCAGAGTTTAATATCGCCTACTTTGGGCTTGAAGTCAGGGTTGGGTTTTATCCGGACAAGTCAATTCCGCTGGTCCTCCAACGCATCGAGCAAACAATCACGGGGACGTGAATGTCTTCGGCGAGATCAACTTTAGTTCATTTCCTCACATTCCAGCTGGAGCAACATATAATAAAGGCATCTGTTTACAGCCAGCTGCACATCAGCACACTCCACCGCGATGTGGATCTGTCAACACAAATCTGACTCAGGCCGGCACTCGGTTCGCAGACAGCCCTGATATATGAAGATGTTAGCAAGAGACCCATAACTTCCTCCTGTATAATGCCAAAAATATATATGTCTTGTCAAAGGTATCTCCGCAGGGTTGTGTTGATTTACACCGTTCACGGGCAGCCTCCTAAAATAATACATTGCGGCAGTGACTTTATAGAGTGATGGTTACAGTTTGACCCCTCGAGCTAGATGAGAGTGTATCTGCTGGCTGACATACTGCGTTGATGCTGAATTCATTTTTTATTTTATTTTTTGCAGACAACCCCTCCTAGTTCTAAGTAGCGCTGACCTAGAAAGCATTGTGCAATCCAATGATTCACTTTGCCACAGAGTGCCAACTGAATAATCATGTAGGATATGCCAATTGACTGCACAAAAAACTATGAATTGTGCAAGCAAATCAATGTGTACTCAACAAATACCTTTTATTTGCTCAGCGTGCAATTTTACACTCTTAATGCAACAAATTGGTGCTGAAAGCCGCTGTTGTTCCTTCAGATGTATTTCCAATGTTATTAGCATGCCATCAGTTACTGCAAATTGCAGAATATTGCCTAAACAATGCTGGAATGTGCAATGAAAACGAACACTTTTACAGCCACAACGAGGCCACATCTCCAGCATGCATGCGCTGTAAATAAAAAACACACAGCATTATTAAACATCAACAGCTCGTTTGCTGGCCAGCGTCTTGGCAAATCTTTGGAGGCGACAGCTGCATTAGCGTGGCTGCCTGCAGGCGTGGGGGAAGGGAGGATAAGAATGATCGTGTCTGAAGCACTCGGGTCTATCTCGCCATCACAGCCTCAGTGTGACATTTTCTGAAGGGGTTAATGCCAACTAGTGAGATGGATGATCGCTGCTGCACAGGTGCAATTGGATCACACATCTTCCTCTGGTTTGGTCATTGATCTCTTTTCCCTGCAGGGCACAATATTTAGGGAGGCAGAGCTGGGAGAGCGAGCTCCACATTGATTTTAGCCTCGAACTGATCATGAGCATGTGGACACGTATGAGCATTAATCCGGGGATGCTGAATGATGGGTAGGCTAACAAGGGCTCAGCCATTCCGATAGGAGTGTGCTCGGTATGGCCCCGCATGAGATCAGGTCACAACTGCCGTGATGTTCATATGAAATCGATGAAACAGCATGTTGACATTTTGCTTTATTAGCGTGGCAGCGTACTGACACCCCAGGGCCGATAATTGACAACGAAACACAACGATTAAGAGAAAATGAGACAGGGAACTGTTTGCATTCATGAAAGGTTATTGCTTCAGAAATATAATTTAAATGGTTTTCTTTTGTCTGGGGACAACTTGTTGAAAAAAAGCCTTTGGATTAATTCATTTTGAGAACCTGGTAACCGCAGCACATTTAGATGCAATTCAGAATTCATTAACAGCGGCTTTTTAAATTGTCCCTTTGTGGTGGACTCTCTGCTTCTGCTGACTCACATTTCTAATAATCTTGTGCTCGGATGGAGGAAAAGAATTTTGCCAACTAAGTAATAACTACACCTATAAAAAAATGCGTTTGCGAAACTTTATTGTTTGAAACAACATCATTTCAAAGACCTTTTAATGAAAACGAGGTCACCACTCAACGGAGGATTTGGACATCTATTTCATGATTATACTTTTAATGGATGCTATTAAAACAAAAACAAACCCATCAGGCAGCTTTTTGGAAGCAAGAGGTTTTTTTTTATCTCCATAGTTGACATTTACTTGGCTTTGATGCTTCAATGGCAGTCACACAAACCCAGGGGACCCTTCTGCCCGGGGAGGGGGGGGGGGCCATCAGCAAAGCAAACAGTTGAATGGCATCATTATCATTCATAGAAGCCAAGCAAACTCATTTCATTTTTTATGCACATAGGTGTGTCTCTCTGTTTGTGTGTGGCACTAAGGTGATAAACAAGTCAAAAGAAATCATATTCAGACAGTGTGTGTGTGTGTGTGAGGGCTTGTTTTACCTATGTTGCGGGGACATAAATCCGTTTACACACTCCCATTGAGGGGACCGGCCTTCCTTACGGGGACCAATTAGGTGCCGACCATGAAGTGAATGAAACCATATTCTCATAGTAGCTTCACAATACTGGTGTTATTTTCACTGGCAATTAATTACGTTTTAATATAAATGTTTTATTTTTCTTTTTTAAAGAAAAATCTCTGCATGGTATTTCCTGGTTGTTAGACGATATGTGTTGGACTTCTCCTTCTTCCAAACAAGGTATTCAGCAATAGCCATCTCTTTCATATCTGGGAGATCCACCACATATTGCTGGATTTTTCTCTTTTCAATGATGCTCTTTGACCGGCTTCACAAGCTGCCTTCGGCACCTGAGGCAAAATTCTTACAACCATGACGAATATCGAGAAAACGCAGTGTGGGGTTTTTAACAAGCGCTTATCCGCGGCACATTAGGATGATGAATTCCTCCCTCCGCCCGGGTCCTACAGATACGGCATGAAAAGACAAAAACTATGTGTGTGTGTGTGTGAGAGAGAGAGAGAGAGAGAGGAACAAAAAAAATAGGGAAAATACCCGGGTGTCAGAACTTCATGAAATAAACGCAGAAGTGGACAAAATCTAAATATAAGGGGAAGATTATGTACCTCAAACACTCAGCAAACACAGTAGAATCCCCCTGGAGGTACAACAGACATCTGTCAAAAACAGCCTGAATATAGGAAACTGTTTGTAGATAAAAGCCAGATCTTCTTGGATCTTAGAAGGATGTTCTCCCACAACACACTGAAGATTCCTTTTTACTCTGATTCATGGACCTTCTTTCTTACCTCCACAGAGTGTTTTTTATTTTATTTTATTTCTTTCGTTTGTCACGGCGTGCCACAGTTCTGGCCAATGGAAATTGCAGTTTGCCTCTTTGATGTTGTAACACTCACACTCTGATGTCTCAGAGTAGCAAATAAATCACTATAATCTCAACGCTCCCTTTGATGGGCTTTGGAATAGTGTTTGACTGAACTCCCCGGTGCTGGCGTATAACGTCCATGTTGGAACCCCGAGACGCATTCAAATCACTGTTAAACTGAGAGGGCAGTTTGTGCACTCAAGAACAAATCAGACATATTCAGCCCCATAAATCACTGCAAACAGCTTGGGCAAGTCTCCCTTGGAACCGACTTTGAATACTAAGTCACTTTTGTTGTCTATTCATCTCGGCGTTCAATTTTTTTGCGGCCCCGCGTTGCTGTACAACCAATTTCACTGGTGATGTTTAATTGAACAATTTATGTCTGAAGCCGTTTCACAGCGGACTCTCACATCCAATTTTCTGACATTAATAACTTGTGAGATAGTGTTTTGCTGCGGCTCCAATAAAGATAAATGCACGCCTCATATATCGTACAGTGTTGTGGAAACATTTCACTTACTGTCATGAATTAATTCATAGTTAACTATTAAAGATCTTGCAAGCAGTCCCAAATCAAACCGGGGGGCTTGGCCTGGTGACCACACCTCAAACCCCGGCACATACACACACCCAGGGAGATTACGACGGTATCCGTTGAGACACACATCAGAAACAGCCTCTGTTTAACCTCATATGAGTGAGGACTCCAGTCCGGGCGAGTATTCGTCGGCAAAAAATGCAGAGGAGTAACCGCAGCGGAGCTGAAGCCACGGGCTTCACCTGCGGTCGCTCTCGGAGCAGGACGCACTTCAGCACCTTGGAGAGGGACATACATCACTTTGTGAGGGGAGGGCGGGCTTACCCAGAGGCCTCGGGTATCTCTCCTTCTGCCAGCTCCTAGTACCTCTAGAGGTTCTCCTCGCAAATCACCCGGGACATCTTGTCAGGCTTTACGCTGATCCGGCGCAGCATAAGTCTTTCGGGTGATGTAAGCCGAGCCGGATGCTTGCGACAGAGGGCTTTGCAGGGTCTCCTTTTAAATATGTCGCAAACTGGAATGCATTTTCAGAGGTGGTAGTTGCTGCTGCTGGTGGTTCTTCACGTTCCGGTTCTTCGTCGTCCTCCTCTTCCCTCCTGGTGCTGCCGTCTCAAAGCCTCGGCTGTCAGGAAAACTGAAACACAGAAGATCAGCAATGGTGTAAATGTAGTTACATATTTTTCAATTTAATTCAGCACTTTATAAAACAAGAAAACATATAGACCCAATGCGCATTAATTATCTTACCAGAATAATATTTGAAAGATAATAGTGTTTTATAGCAACAGAAGATTCAAATTACCCACATAGATTTTTTTAATAGCATTTAATATGGCTTCAATAGGCGATATCCAAATGCTGAGAGATGAATGCCATGTGGCACTTTAAACACCATTTGATGCTAATTTGAGTGGTAATACACTATAATATGATAAAATACTCTTTAATTGGGAGGCATGAACAGAAACCGAGCATGACGGGATATAAAATCCCCTTGAGTCAGACTTTTAAATCCTGAGTTGATATGTGCCAATTAAATGACAAAAGTATCTATTACGTTTCTTTCATATGAACTTAATGTTATACTGTCACTTACTGCAATAAAATAATTGGACCTTTTGTGTTATCTAACTGAAAGAAACACAACAAAGGTTCCTGATAGGTTCCGTAAGTCAAGTTGGAGGTTCTTTACTTGTTTATACGTCTTTCCAGTTGTCTGTTTTGCTCTTCACCCTCTTCTGAGAGACTGATCTGATTAAACTCCACTGCATTGACCTTCAAGACAAACACGGTGAAGAAATCTGAAGCCCAGTGACGCTATTCTTCGAGGACACGCAGAAGGTGAGGCATGGCTGCGAGCTCATGCAGCGTCATACAAGACATTCGCAAATCTGGCAACCCAGTAGGGGGAAGAGACGCCGCGCTTAGATGCAGCTCCCGTCCGCTATCTACTGATCTGGCAACTGGCGGCGTCCTCCTATAATTATCTCTGACATGAATACAAGGACCATGCAGAGATACCGCATGTGATGAGCAAACAAAGGACGGCGCCGCATGACAGAAATACGACCCGTCCTCCTCCTCCGCTTCATCTCCCCCCGTCTCTTGTTTTGCTCGTCCATCAGTCAGTCTCCTGCGGCATTTCCTCCGACAATAGTCGTTGTTCATTTTTCCGTATTGTCCTTGATGGCCTTCAATCTGTTAAGCCTCTCCCTGTCTCCCATTTGTCTGCCAGTGTCCCTCCGTGCACGTCCCCCAGCGTCGCCACGGCATGACCCACATAACCTCTGGTCAGTTTTGTGAGCGGCTGATGCATTATGAAGCAGGGTTATCGACGGTGGAGCGGTCCCTTCAGGGGTTTTGAAGCAGAGGCATGTCAATAAAACACACACACACACACGAAACAGAACCATAGCGGTTGTTCGCTGACATGAGCGCCCCCCCCCCCCCCCCAGCAACAACACACACATACGGCACTGTAGCCTATTGAGGGGCGGGCAAATACGGATGGAGACCGCACAGCCTGAGTGGTGACGATAATATCTGGGCACAGAGCGCTGGGAGGAGTGAACAAAGAAATAAATGGAACGGATGATTAAGAGATGAAGGGAGATATGCACCAACCCGTGGCTTAAATAGAGGGTGGCAGCACCCGATCGGACACGGTGGGAGGAAATGGGGATTATGAAGACACATTGCAAGATGGGGTGCATTTTTGGGGCCGAATGGCCACACATGACGTGCATTTTTGTTAACGCCAATAAAAGGATGTTGTTCTATTGTTGTGACTCACAGAGCTTTGTCCGTGAATCAGAGGCGGGGCCTGAGGGCCCGGCCTCCAGGCTTCTCCACCCCCCCCCCCAGCGACCTACTGCACTGTGATCTCTCCACTTTCTGCCTAAATACCTGCGGCGCTACAAAAGATGCATTCAGGGGCAGGAGGAGGCAGAACCAGCCTCACTGTGTAGCAGGTTCAGTGTACAGGTGGAGCAAGTGAAGTGTGAAATGTAACATTTCAAGATCACAAGAAACCTTTTTTTAGTTGTCTTTTTAAACACAGCAGTGTTTATTTGATGAGGTTGTTGTGGGTGGTGGTGGTGGTGGTGTACTTGATGCTGGCTCATATTCTACCCTCTCTCCTTTATTTAAAGTTTTAGTTGTCGGTGCACTGTCGGTGCACCACCCTCCCCACGGGGTCTCCTTTTCTCTCACGTGCACATATGCTTTTTGCCGTATTTGCTACAGACATTTTAACTCATTCATACTGATTAACGTGACTGACTACTGAGTTACACGTTTGCTCCATTCGTTATTGTTCTAACATGTGACAAAGACGCTGTGTTGGGTCACATTAGCTTGCTGGCCTGCTATTTGCTGTCACTCACTATTCAATAAAATCTTCACAATCATTTTAAAAACCCCAAAAACTACAAAACTGCTCCCTAAGATCTTGTGCCTCAATGTGCGCTGCTTTATGGGGAGATCGACTTTGATCGGAAGGTTTCCGCTCGGGGAACGGGCTTTAGCGAATTGTCGATTTTTCCTGAAATAACTTGAACGGTTCAGTGTTCTTTCCTCCGCATTTAGCGAGACATTATTTCATCATTAAAGAAGAAGAGTCAGGCCGTGGACGTTAGATGTTAATGATCTAATTTGTCGTTTCCAAACTGTGATTCCATTAAGCTTTAGGGATTTTTGGATGCAGTGGTCCTACTGGCCGTTGTAATGTCTTTGACGTCATCCCGATAAATCGACCAACCGGCAGCGCGGCGCCGGTGTTTGCCTCGCTGAGAGCACCTGATGCTATAAACACGGTCTAACATCCCTCAGCTGGTGCACAATCACGCAGAGCAATCATCTGAGCTGATGTGTCACGCTCGATGGCTGTCTGTATATTACACCCGACCGAAAACCATGTTTAACTTCTGGAATCTGCCTATTTGGATTTCACAGGGATCTGGATGAAGATTTAAAAAAAAAAAAGATTCATTTTACCACACTTGCAGAAATCTGCAATGTGTCTCAATTATGTCAGAATATGTATCTTCATCTGCTGGATATATCCATCTTTTAAAAGGTGTTGGTTCTATTCAGGTCTTAATTGTTTGCTCTCTTCCATCACTGACAAACAAGAGTACTAAGAGTACTGGTAAGCCATTTGTCAAGATAGATATGGAGAGAGATGCTTTCATCCTCAGTGCCCTCTTGCACACTGCTTCTTTTTCCCCATTTCTTCGTCTCCTTCCTCCTCCTCCTCCTCCTCCGTCTCTTTCTGTTCAACACAGGGGCATTTTGTCCTCACAAGGTCTGAGGGCTGAATGACTACATCCAATGCATTTTATACCAAATCGAGATCAACACACAGTGGGCTGTTAACTCAAGGAGCTCTTCCTTTAAGTGCAGAACCGATCAAGGTCCCGGACCCGCACAGACCGGGTCCGCAGTGAAGGGAGCGTTGCTGAGCTACAACAGACGAATGAAGCGCATCTTTGATGGCCATCTTTAGCATCGACTCCGCAGAGAGCAGAGGGGGAGAAAGTGATGAAAGGGGGAAGTAATGGCAGCTTGCCTGAGAGGAAAGACACACATTCTACTGGGGCCTAAATTTAAACTGGAGCTCTTTCACACAAACACACACACACACACACACTCTCACACACTCTACACTCTTGACAAACTGGGAGAAGAAAATCACTCAATTGTTAAAAGAACTCTCTCAAACCAAAATAGTTTTTGGAGGGTTAAGCGTTTTCATTTGGCATGACATGTGCCAAATATCATCTTTTTAAGTACATTCTGCAAAGAGAGCGAAAGGAACAGTGTGTTGTGTACAATCATACTTAAAGCAGCTCATGCATTTTACTCGGTGACGTCCCATCCGATGCACCTGCCATGAAGACAATTTAAATACATCTGCATTTAAACAAGACAATCCAGCAATTTGCATTTTGAACTCAACGGGTTGGAAATACATCTGGGAGGAGGAATATCCATGCGAGTGGCCACATTAAATCAACGTCCCCAGCTGCAAGTTTGCCGGTTTGGACGGCTTTTTTCACACAATTCTTCCAAATCACAGTTACGCCACATTTTGCTGCCGTTTCCCTTGTTGATCGCTTGTTCACTCGTAAACCACCGCCACCCTCTGTGTGCAAAAGCAGCAGTTGACTAGAAAATGAGGAAACACATTATCGCCCCCCATCACTAACAAGCGAGCACGGATGAACCCAACCTGTCGTGTTTATTTTTGCAAAAACCTCAAGGTAAAAAAAAAACGCCACGGTTTATTCATGAATCTAACTGTAGCCGAGTGCCTTGCCTCCAAATCAAGAAACACCCCGAGGCAAACAAACAGGGGCGCGCCGTGCCTTTCCTTTTCTCCTGTTATAACCCATCACCACAGAGAGGCTCATCAGTGGTGATGGGGGGGGGGAGCACTGCTGTGCTTAGTGGTGGCTCCATGCACAGAGACAAACTTCAGTATGGGCCAAAGAGCCGGTGAGACGTGTCTCCTGCTGTCCGCTGAGTGGGCCGTGCACCACCACGCAGAGAAGGGCCCCCGCCGACCAACAAATGTTCCTCTATTCGGTGGGCAGCCTTCCACCGTCATTACTCACATAGTTCCCGTTCCCTTTGCCCCCGTAATCAGATCCTCCTTGTGAGTGAGCTAAACGCACACGCATCAGTGCACGCGTTTATGCAACAAAACCCGCTGGAGAGCATCAGGGGGGGGGGTCGCAAACACAAAGCATATCGCTACCACGGAGAGTCACTAGAGCCTAAAACCTCCTCTGGGTTCGACCTTTTTTTTTTTTTGATGTTGTTGTTGCTGTTTGCAGGTGCAGCGACCAGCCAAACAATTCTGCTCACTCATGAGCGTCCACATTAGAGAATACAGACATGAATCACACCGGTTCCATTGCCGAGTTGATTCATGCATCTCACTGCCACCAGAGAGAGAATTCATCTCTGCAGAGAGTCCATCTACAGGCCACTGAGCTATTAGCGTGTAATGTGGTTCAGGCAGTCACGGGCCTCCGACCCGCGAGGCGGCCCGATTAGGAGCCCATTGTTGACATTCAGAGAGGTACCGGAGCGGCCTCACAGAGCGCTTGTATCAGTGTTCCACGTGAGGCATAAAGCTGACGCTGATGACACGACTGGATCTAAGGGGCCGGGCCTTTCTGTTCACTTGTTTCGGGTAAACAATGCATTTGTTCAGATAAAAAAACGCAAGTTTGTCTCGTCCCCAAAGGTGCAACGATATTAACAGGAAGGTCAGAGAGATTCAACCTAATTCTGCACCACCCAACAAAGTACTATAAAAACTACAAGAGTCGTCGTAATGACTTGAGAGAATGAGAAACCCATTCAGGTAAACATTTTGAGTGTGCTACACCACTTCTTTGCTTTCCAGATTGCAATACTTGTCACTGCATCGATATCAGTTGTCATCAGTCATCACAACAATGCTCACATGCTATGAATTCATAAATTTGACCTGTATTGTGCTGTGTTTATGGTGTTCTACTTTAACAGAAGATCTAAATACTTCAATACTTACACCACTGATTTTAACATTTGGTTAAACTAACATCTCCAAACCCTCCGAAGCATAAAGTTGGATCCAGAAAAGAAAATACTTTGCATTGGTTTTAACAACTGGAGAAAATGACTTTTGCACGTTTTTATTTGATATATGACCTGAAGAAAATTATCTCCTTTTGGAGGGATTACTGCAGAAAACACTTAAAGACAAAGTGACACGAACAACAGCTTCATAGGTGTGAATTTATGAAAACGGATCTAGCATTTTTTTTTAATTGTTTTGTTAATCTACTGTCTTTAATAGTATAATAATAATAATAAACACTAATTGGATGAGGAATTAATGTAGTGTTTGTAACGTAATGTTTGCATGACCGACTAGTTCACAGCACCCCCCCCCCCCCCCCCTCCCGAATGCTTGCCAAGTTCAAATCTCCCTCTCCTCTCGATGCTGCTTCCGTCTCTCTGCAGCGCGCACAGCGCCGTCACTCGCTCCCTCTTCCCTCCACCGAGAGCTCGCACGGGGGGTTGGGGGGGGGAGACGTAAACTTTTACAAAAACGGGTTCCTGTCCGGGAGCGTGGGCGCGTCTTCGCCCGATGCCCATCCCAATCCCCCCCAAAAACCCAATAATACAACAGCCACCACCACCACCAAGAAAGAGAGAGAGAGAGAGAGAGAGAGAGAGAGGACCGGTTCCAGGCACCCAACCCCTCCCGGTATGAAATGAACGTGCCCAGAGACGAATCCGCGCAGCCGATCCCCCGCCCTCTGCCGCTGGGCTGCTGAAGGGATCCAGCACCGATCGCCGTAATAAAAGACAAAAAAGAACCCGGGGAAGAGGAGGAGGAAGTTGGGGTGGGGGGGGGGGGAGAAAAAAAACGAGCGCCTCTCACCGCCCGACCAGAACCGGCAAGAGAAGACACCCCCCCCCCGAAGGGGTGGGGGAACCCGAAGGACTCCACCTGCTGTGAAAACCGCTGGGCCACCCCCACCGAAGCAAAAAATGCAGCCCCGAGCAAGCTCCTGAGTCTGGTTCTCTCCATCCTTCAAGTTCAGAACTCACCCAAGTAGGTTTTATTGTTTGGTTCCCCCCCCCCCCCCCCTGTATTTAAAAGCTAAAGAAAATAAATTTAAAAAAGCCGGCGGTTAATTGGCTTCAGATGCACGCAGAGATTAGCCGTTTACCTCGCGCAAAGGGGTCCCCGTGAATTAGCCCTCTACCCCCCCTCAGCCCCCTCGCGTTTAAACAGATTACCGGCCGGGATTACATGATGTGAATGCATTGTGTTGGACGGGCGCGGACGGATCCAGCAGAGCCTCGCACGTCACCCCCACCGACGGGGATGACAAATCGGCCTGATAGAGGGGGGGTGTGTGGGGTGGGGGTGCAGATTATTGCATGATCTGTCAGTTTTCTCTTTAGCAGATGGTCAGATGGATCCATAGCAGGGTCCTTTCTGTACAACATGTAGCTTGTTCTCCAGGAGCCCGTGGTTGAAATCACAACGGCACAAATCAGATGCAGTGTCAAAGAAGGTGTTTGGAGCATGCTCAATGACCACGGTGGGACTCACTGCTTGCCTTTGTGAAAGGGGGAGGGATTGGGGAGGGGGGGGGGCATTTCTAGCAATGTAAAGCCGCCCAGCTCATCAGTAGTAAACAAATGCGCCGGTCAATAAAAAGCATCTCTGTGATCCTTTACTGGAACTAGTAATTACTTCCTGCTTTCTGGAAGGCCCTTTGCAGCCATAATAGTTGCATTAAGCTGTTGCCTTTATAAATCTTCACGGACAGCATTATGGGGAGGGGAGCGAATTTATGTATCGCCGGGCCCTGCCACCACCAGCGGATTGAAGAATTTGACAATTTAATTGCCCGTGCTGGAACAGACAGTCACATTTCATTTGGCTCTCTCTCGTGTGTGAATCCAATCGTGTTTGGTAATTGGAGACTGCAAAACAAAAAATATCAAACCCGACACGGAGGCATCAACAAATGATCGGCTTTTCCCCCCCAGCATCCGTAATGTGCTCCAAGCCACGAAACTGCATGAAACGTGTTGGGCTGCTTGGAACCCGGCGAGGCCCAACATGTGCTAGAAGAATATTGATGTCACAACCTTGACACGAATATGCCAGCGATATTGATCCCAGCGGATGCGCGAGGGACGTTTATTCACAGAACGAATGGCGTTCGTGTGGAATTACACGCAGCCGTCACTGGTGCCGCTTCATCTCCCCTTGCACTGAAGCGTCGCACGTGTTCGCCCCCCCCCGTCACCTGAAGCGGACCCTCAGCGCGGGGCCGGGGCTGTACGCGCTGATTGACGGAGGCCGGAGGAAGTGACAGCGTCTCCCACTCTGGGTTCGACGGCAGTCAGGGGTCGGGGTCAAGCGGAGGGGGGTGTGGACAGTGGACAGGGGACAGTGTATCTCTGGTGGCCTTGAGAGTGTGTTGTCTGTTTGAAGGTAAGTCCATGTCCAGGAGAGCAGAAACATCAGAGACGGGCTGTATTTATACGGCCCGCCCCCCAGCTATAGAAGCCCACGGCGCACTTCACGGCGGGAAGGCCGGGCCTCTGCACAGCTCATCGCTGTTTGAAGACAAGACAGGAAAGAAGTGAGAGGTGTATCCAGACACCGAAAGGCAGAGGGGGACGTTTCTTCCCTGCCGGATTGCTCATGAGAGCGGCACTCAGTGACCTCAGACGCTGAACAGCGTCTCCTAACGACCACCGGGACAAGGTCTCACTCTAGACGGCGAGGAGGTGGCGGCCGCGGCTCTTCCCCTCAACATCTGGCCGTGGCGACCCCGTGGCGAGTCGTCCCGATTAGCGGCTCGCGCCCCTCTTTAATTCCGCCGGCCCCTTTTTTTTTTTTTTTTGTTGCACCTTCGTCCCCGACCGACCCCGAAGGATTTGTTCTCACGGAGAAGAACAGTAAGCAGCCAGAGAGCGGCATCTGTTTCGGCGCCTGCAGCGGCGCCCACGTCCTTAAGCATCTTCGCAGTCACCTGACAGCACAGATGGCGCCAGGTGACCCAAATACCACAGAGCAAACAAACACGGGGCAAAAGGTCAACATCTGCGCGTCAGGGTTTAGACATTCGTATGCATGCACAGTTTATCATTTATTTACTTGTACATGGAAACACCAATTCACGAACACGTCTCCGTTCTTTTTAATGCGAGGAACTGAGACGGAGTTAAGCTGAATTGCAATACGCATGGCAGCTGGGGTTGAAGCTATTTATTATTCAGTATGGTCGGTGAAGCAAGTGGAGAGAGGGAGGCAGCGGGCAGACGAGGAGTAGGTGGAGATACGGTGCATTTTGTGGTTGGAAATGCGATTCTTCACCTGTTTAAGCATCGGATTCTAAGTGTGTCAATGTGGTGATCCACACCGTCTAAAAACCCGTTTTCCAGGATGCGATAGAGTCAAATATTCATGCAAGGTTTTTATATCAGATCGCATAACGTATCATTGAGCGGGTGTTGTTTTTAATGTGCTGGTAAACAGAATTACAGATCAATCCTGCTGAATCTAATGAGTGGTTTGAAACAAGGCGCCGCTCTATAAATTGTCAAATGTTGATTGATTGATTGATTGATGCCATCGAGTCAGGTGTCTTTCCCCAGTGCACCTGTGGCTCCTTCTGCTGTGTTAAAATACGGAGGGCCGAAGCTTTGGATCACCTGTGAGGCTTAGAAGACTAACCGTACCTGGGGGGCTGTGTGATGAGAAGATCTCAACACGAGACCCCCCCCCCTCGAGGGAGAGCAGTGCGAGCTGACCCCCCGCCGAGGCTTCAAAGCGGTGGGGGCATTACTATGCTGCGACCTCTCACCTCAAAGGTCATGGGGAAGTAGGAGGGACAAGAAAGGCGATGCAGGGAGGGATAGGTGGTGGTGGTGGGGGGTGGGATTCAGTGAATGTCACCTTTTCTCTGACTGTCATTCAGTAGAATTATCTGACAGAAATAGCTGTGGACACACAAGCTGCTCGGGGGACCTCGTGTATCAGCAGAGCTGCTCCACCGTCTGGAGCCTTTGGCCCCTGATGACGACGGAACGACGAACTCTTTCAAACAACGCACTCGCGTTTTAACTCTTTGCAGTAACCGTGCAGCCGCTGAATGAAAATGTGACTAATGTAGTCGTGGGAAGTTTGTTTTATTGACGAAATATCGATTTTAAGGAAAAACCTCTTTTTGCATCAGTCGTGCTTTTGATTTTGATTTTCCGCAACGCCCTCGGCAGCTGCAAGAGGGCGCCACAGTCCCGCGAATGAAATAAAACGCTCCCCCTCTGAGCTCGATGCATCCGATCACCCATCAATAATAAAAAAAAACAGCCCCGAGTTCTCGCACCTGCCGAAAAAATACATTCTGCACGCGCGTTTTTTTTCTTTTGTTTATTGTGTCGAACCCTCGATTCGTGTGGACCGTGTGTCCGTTTACGTCGCTGTGACGTGCGCGTTTTGGCCCGAACGTGCTTCCCCGCGCACGATCATCCGGAGCAGGTCTGGAGGCCCCCCTCTCCTTATGGTCCTTTGGACAAAAGACATGTCACGATGATCCTTCAGCATCACTGTCTGCCAAACCTGCACTGCCTCTTGTCATTGGGTGGAAGAGGTGGAAGAGGTGGGAGGGGTGGGAGGGGGGGGGGGGGTGATGAGCGCCATCTCACATCTCTCCACAAACGCCCCCCAAAGTTGGCTGACATCATTGCGTCTGGCGATACAGATGGATCCGTAGTACCTCCCTCCTTCCCCCCCCCCCCTTCCCTCCTCCCTCCTCTCGCCCCGCTCGGAGCCGCCTCTGTGCGTGCAGTCGGTGGCACTTCATCACGGAGCGCACTCGAGGCAGGAGGCGGACCGTCGGGCGTGAACCAAATAGTAACGGTGCACCGGAGAGGCAGCAGTGTGCGGGACAGCGCGTGCAGAGGAGCTACCCAGAAGACCCCTCCAACCCGCCCGCCGGGTGTTTTTCCATCTTTTCATTTTCCACTGGAGCAATTTGTTGCAGTTTAAAAAAAAAAAATTGAATTGTTCTTTTTTCTTTTCCCGTGCCGATCCGGTTCCGTTCAGCTCGTCACTTTCGCGTCCGACCCGTTCGTCGCCTGCGCTTCGTCGGAGATGTCCAAAAAAAGACCCGCCGAGCCGGAGTCCCGGGTGAAACAGCAAGCCGCTCTGGGCAACATGACTCGCCTACCTGGTTTCTCACCGCAGGGGTCTGTAGAATGAAAACGGCTTTTAAAAAAATAAATAAAATTAAAATAAAAAAATAAATAGATAAAGTCCAAGCCGCGCGCAAGGATGTCGGTTCCCTTGCTGAAGATCGGCGTCGTGCTCAGCACCATGGCGATGATCACCAACTGGATGTCGCAGACCCTCCCCTCTCTGGTCGGGCTTAATACCACCAAGCTCACGGCGGCGCAGGGAGGGTTCCCGGACCGGAGCATTGGAGTAAGTGCGCAACTTTCGCATATTTTTCCTGCAGCTGCTTGAGTTTTTTTTTTCTCCTCCTGAATGAATGTTGCAATTACATCTGAAAGGTCAAACATTTGTCCGCTTTGTGTTGAAACGTTCAAAAAAAGAGGGAGTCCTGTCAAAGTGATGCGCTCTGCTGGACGCGTGAAAAAGTGGGAAATCTTGCGTTTTGATGTTTAACCCCCCTCCTCCCCCCGAAGTTATCGGCCGTTTTTCCTTCTTCCCTTGTATTGGTACAAATAAGAGATCCATTGTAGGGAATTAAGCGATTGACATGAGTAATGTACAGGCAGCCCCCCCCCCCCCCTCCGGCCTCCCTGTCTGAAAACAGCGGGGCGGAGAAGGGGAAGCAGGAGGGAGGGAAGGAGGGAGGGAAGGGGAGGTCGCCCTTCTCCCTTTCCCAGGAATGAGCGAGGCGGTCAAAGCCCTGGGTCTGTAATAAAGTCCGAGATGAAGCGCTTCTTTGTTTCTCTGAGCTGAGGTGAAGATGTGAGCGCTCCTCAAGTGGAGGTTCTGCCTGTCATCTAGATGAAGGGATGTTTGAAAAGCAGAGAACTGATATTTTGATATTTATTCGGTTATCCTGGACGTGGCACGTTTGTGGTACGATTAGGAGAAAGATTGTTCCCGTGAACTACGCCACCATTTATTCATATATATTTTTTTGGGGGGGGGGGGGGGGGTTGAGTTGTAGTCCTACGGATGCACAGCAGGATGTCGAGGCAGAAGCTTGATTTTCCTTTTGTCTCGTCAGCACATCCTTCGGCGGCGAGCGGAGCCGCCATGGTTGCTCCTTCACTCCTTCTCCCTGATTGACTCAATCAGCAGATCTCCCCCCCTGATTTTTTTCGCTGATGCTGTGATAAACATCTTTCTCAAAGTCACTCAGTCAGTCTTACTCATTCTCTGGGACACCCCCCCCCCGCCAACTCTTTCTGACGTTGCACGGCGTAGCTTTACACACTGTGATGGTGCAAAACGGGTGGAGCCTGTTGGTTTGTGGCGTCCCGCGGGCGCAGTTCTCCTAATGGGCAAACAGCAGCAAAGTGACCTTTGTAATTTCACAGAGAAACACGCCAGCGTGGGTTTTTTTTTCTTCCCGTGGGACCTTCGCGTCTTTCTCCGTCCTTCGTCTCTGAGCTGTCCTTCCTCTGTCCACGGCCTCGTCCTCAGGTGTTGCCGGCGAACCCGGAGGAATCGTGGCAGGTGTACAGTTCGGCCCAGGATAGCGAGGGGCGGTGTGTCTGCACTGTGGTGGCGCCTCAGCAGTCCATGTGTTCACGGGACGCCCGCACCAAACAACTGAGGCAGCTGCTCGAGAAGGTAATTCACCGGGCCGAACTCCTCTGCAACTCATCACCGTAGCAATCAAAGTCACGCAATACCCTTTGGTCCTTCTAGCGGCAGTACATCACGCACAAAGACACACACACACACGGGCTTACCTGTGTTTGTGATCTGCCTGTTGGACAAGAATAGGAACCATGCTCTAATGAGCTCCCCAGGAACCCAACGCGCATCACGGGAGGCCGCTGCACGCCCATTAGTTTCTATTGCGCTGCACACGGCCAGGGTAACTCGTCTAATGATGCCACCCAACCCAATAGAGGTTCATACTAAAGGAACATTTAAGCACTTAAATAAAGAGTTAATGCAGCCGATCAAGACAAATAAATACACACGTCAACCGATATTTCGCAAATGTCTTAACAGTATGCATTCCACACTTCCACCATGTGTCTGAGGCCCCTGACTATAGTTGGCCCGGTGTCAGAGTTTGTGAGTCACTGAAGGAGAGCGCCGAGCCAAAACAACATGTTGACAGTCTGCTGCGTTTCCCCCGGTGTCTCATGCTCATTGCTCCAACTAGACTGTAATAAATCGAGATTGGTTTTCATGACTGGGTCCGATTTGTATCCATTTGGCACCTCAGGTCCAGAACATGACCCAGTCCATCCAGGTCCTGGACCAGCGAACCCAGAGGGACCTGCAGTATGTGGAGAAGATGGAGGTCCAGCTCCGTGGTCTGGAGACCAAGTTCAGGCAGGTGGAGGAGAACCACAAGCAGAATATTGCCAAGCAATACAAGGTACGGAGCCAGATCTCCAGCCACTGACCCAACCGCCATTCTGTCATCCACCATACGCCGCTTATCCCATTTCATCACTTTGTGTTCCCAACCATTATACAACATAATAAGAAATTATTATTATATTCCAACTCACTTTATGAACCCATTTTAATGTGGAAGAATTTTACCAACAAGATATCTGCACATGGGACACACAAGTTTAACTAATATTATCAAAGAGTAGAAACTAAATCCCCGCCTTTTTTTCCCTTAAAGGGCCGGTGTGTGAAAACGGAATGTAGTATTAGTAGAATAGTTACCCGAGAAAATGGAATCGCTGTGCTTTCGTTACCTTAGAATAAACCACGCGGAGCCGGTTCTCCTCGTCTCACAGAACCATGTTAGTGTAGCGGCCCAGAACGAACCAATCACCGGCTCTAATTGAGGCCGTTGGCGTGTCGGCTAGCTGTTAGCATACAACCGCCGGTGCAATCTGCGAACTCCCTGCTAGACGCTTAAATATCCTACGCACGGGCCCTTTCTTTACTGACCAGAACAAATACCATGAACATACAATATATGGATTGAATATTTTGTGTCATAGAATCTTAAAGCCCAGATAACATTAGCAAATGACTTTGTTTATCTGACTAACAGTCCAAGACGGAGAAACCTGGCATGTCTCTTCAAATAATGAACTGAAATTGAGGGATTCGTTCAAACAATGACTTTATCGATCAAACAATTTTCAAAATAGCGGACAATTATCCAGCAACCGTCTTCATAATTGCACAATTGACCGATGTTTTAAGCTCTCGAGTGCTGAACGTTGTCCAAACACAAGCAGCCATACAAAAACTGAAGTGTAAAGAAAAAGTGAACAAGACAAATACGATGCCACGTTTAAGCAACACTGCTAACAGATTTCTGCCGTCACCGTTGAAAACGTTGAGGTTCATTAGCCCCGCCCCCTTCGCCTCACCCCACTCAACACCACTGTTTCACTTGTATTCTTACCTGCGCCCTCGCCGCCGCGCCAACACACGCGTGTTGGATCACCGCTGCATGCTCACAACACCTCATGCCACCAACCGCCCATTCAGTGTGCAATTATCTGTAAGTTGTCTTAAGTGCATATACTAACTGCGTGTGCGATTGTTTGTGTGTCTTGTCAGCTAGGTTAGCAAGCTCTAGCCCCTGTCAACAGTTTGTCATTTTCTTGCTTGCAGGGCTAACTTTAAGAAATGTAAAGAGAGCCACAGGGAAGAAGAGGCAGGTCAATTCCAGATTCCCCTGAACTGGGCCACAGTACTGAGAGCATTTGGGCGTCAAACAGTTAATTTACCGTTAGCACCATTAAGACTAAGAAACCCCAGCCTTCTCCCACTCCGACCCACCACTGATCTCTTCCTGCATGTTACTGCTGTCAAAGTTTCCCCATTTACAAGCTTTCTTTTTCAAACGTAAATACATTTATTATCAATATTATTATCGATTGCTGTTATTCTTTTGGCTTTTGTCTATGCATATTTGGTTTCTCAACAAATCTACACGTAAAAACTATAGACGTAAAAATTCGAGTCACTTTGTTGTGTGTGACATGTAAAAGCATGTAACCCTTAATACAATGTTGCATTTTAAACGATGATGACCAATAAAGAGCTTTCCCAATTGTTGTCGGTGTACCGAGGGCTTGCTTTTTAACGGCTGGTCACTGCCGGGGACGGAGCCGCAAGACGTAAGACGAGTGTCACCTGGGTTTGTTTGCTCAGACACACACACACACACACACACACACACACACACCTGCACAGACGAAACACAGCCGCTCACACACGCAAACACTGAACGCAGACACAAACAGGGGGTCAGGGAAGAGACAGGACAGAGTTAAGAGTAGCCAGGTTCAGACAGGTGTTATTATCATCCCCCCCCCCCCCCTCTCCACCCTTTTTTTTCCTTTTTCTTTTATGGACAGTGTCCTCTTGTCGCGCATGACACTCAACCGAGCTTATTCTAATCCTTCCAGGCCATAAAAGCGAAAATGGAGGAGCTTAGACCGTTGATACCAGTGTTGGAGGAGTACAAAGCCGATGCCAAATTGGTATTGCAGTTTAAGGAGGAGGTCCAGAATCTGACGTCAGTTCTAAGCGAACTTCAGGAGGAGATGGGGGCCTATGACTACGAGGAGCTCCACAACAGAGTGTCAAATCTTGAGGAGAGACTGCGAGCATGCATGCAAAAATTAGGTAGGCCCAGAAAGTTGTTGGCACACACTTTGCTTGAAACATGTGCATACATTAACACTCACCCCCCCTCCCATTCCCCCCACCCCGCTGACATGTAGTATGTTGTGAGTGGCCAGAGAGAGACATCCTCAGGCATATTCACACAGTCCAGAACATCACAGGAACATTACGTGTGGTTGAAATGCACATTACACATGACTCACAAGGCAATCGCCATCCAGCCTTTATGGTTGTGTTTCATGGGGCCCCCGGCCCCCCGACAGACTTTCATATTGGTGCATTTTTACATTATCAAAGTGGTTTGATTTGCGAAGTCCGTTACAGGGCCACGCGTGTACTCGTAGAACTGGAGTTGCATCGGGGTAACTTCTATATCCTCCGTGTTTCTCCTTCGACGGTCAGCCAGTCGATCAAAGAAAAGGAATATGATTACTTTCTTTACTGTTTATTGGGCAGAACATACTTACAGATGACACACCGGGTTTTTGAAATTGTTATAAATATTTATTCCACTGCTTAAGAAAATGTTATTGAATACATTATTAGTTGATAGATGAACATATCTTAAATGCCGTCAGTCAGTTTAACTTTATTTGTTTGGACATGTTACATCAGAATATGCAAAACCAGCCTCCTGTGATGAAAGAGACGGCATTCGGTGTTTTACACTCACACACACACACACACACACCGATGAGTAAGAGAAGTGCTGAGAGGAAGTTTCTATCACAGACTTATCTTTGGTTTTCACTCCGTCTCAGTCTCTTCACACCTCTGTCACAGCCCACAGTGCTAATACATTCACACCCACACTACAGTGACTATGATAAATTACAAGAGCAGAGACACTTACACGCCGCACATCACGGGTATATTGTGTCCTCGTTTGGAAATATTCACGGTGCAAAATGACAGAATGGAATTGGGGGGGGGGGGAACAACTTTTGGTTACAAAACCTACTGTTCATTTTGAACAGCTGCCCCCCCCCCAGTTACCATTCCAGTCATTTCTCCTCTTCATTCATGCACATATGAGTTACATGTTGTGTTATTGTCACAACCCGTCGGACTGGAGTGAGAGGCTTCTCTGTGTCTCTGCACTCTCTGCAGCTCGATGCACATGCCTTTCCTCACCTGCCACAGCGTGTGTGTGTGTGTGTGTGTGTGTGTGTGTGTGTGTGTGTGTGTGAGAGAGGGGTCAGACGAGATAAAGCAGAGGTCACCCTGCGAGGAACTGGCTCGGGGAGGAACAGAGGGTGGCTCTTCCTTTCATCTCCACACGATTGCAGAGGCACTCGCGCACACAAACGCACCCGGCTGCACTCTCGTTATTGAGATTACATCTGCAGATTAACAGGAGGGTGTGAGAGAAAAAAAAAAAAAAAAAAGCGTGAGTAAAGAAGGCAGGATGAATTTGAGCAGTGAATAATAGATACAGCGCCGGGAGGGATTGACAGGAGGTGGTGAGGGCGAAGGAGAGAGGGTGATAAAGTGAAGGCGAGCCGGGAAAGTGAAAGAGAGTAACTGGGGTCCCTGCAGAGCTGTCCTTCAAGCCGGAGAGACTTACAGGCCGGCGGCTGCGGGGACACAATGGCCATCGATCAGCGGGACACGCCAGCTTGCTGGGACAATAATCAAATAAATAAATCACCCCTCGCCGTGCCCCGGCGCCACGGAGGCACAGAGAGCTCGAGGCAAAGAAAATCCAGCCGCGTCACCCTGAAGCTGATGAATGGAGCTGCAAAGTCACAGCAGCACATGAACCCCCCCCCCCCTCCGCTACCTGCTTTGCAGCCATTGTTCTTACCCTCCATTTCCTCTGGAGAGAATGCTATTACGAGGCATAATGTATAGCCGAGTTCACCTGCCACCCGATCAATATTTCTCTCTTTGCAAATATCAATGCGTCTCTCATTTTTATTAGTTTTCCCTCGCCCTCATTCTTATAATACAGTGATAATAGAGTGACACTTTATTGGCGTTTGGCACTTTAGGCTGTTGTTTCTAATGCACTGATGTGGAAATATGGAGACTTCACTACAAAGAAGTCACACAAGTGGTCGGAGAAAACGATTTATTTGGCATCAAACAACTAAATGTGATAGCAAATATTGCTCTTTTCCAGGAATAAAGTGTTCGTTCGTTCCAAATCCTGGATGTGGCGATGGGGATTTTTGTGATAGTAAGCTCCAGTTCCCATCAGGCTTCCCATCGGCTCCGACCACGTGGACCCATCAGTGTTCTCCCCAGCAGCCTGCAACCCCAGTAGCATCTAAAGATAGACGCCGTGATTACAGAAGCTACCGAATAAATCAATGGCCGATGTACTGCCGCCGTCCTTAATCCCACTGAGCATTACGTAAGGGACTCAACCCCCACTGGAAATAGTAAACACCGCTTATGTGACCATGTGTTGGTCTCTCGGCCCACCGCTGAGGTGTGATGCTCACACATAATCACGGACCCAAACACACAAAGACACGCGATAGTTTTAGCATCAGGGAAAACAATTCTGACCCGATAAGAGAGTGAGAGTGACTTAAAAAAATAAAACAATCAAGAACAGTAGATATGCTGTGGAGGGGCGCGACGCTAACCGAGCTAGAACACGCCACGTTGCCGCTCTTTAAGCCTTTTCACTGTTGGAAACCTCCTCTGTCATAACGAATGGATGAGGTGCAGCGGTGTTCTGAGCAGGTAGGAACACGGAAACCAGCCTCGGCTTTTTTGTCAAATTCCCATTAACACCTTGATCGTCAGTAATTAACACTCGAGCGGCTTCTCCGGCGGCGAGCCGCGGCAGAGCCCAGAGCTTTCTCACATATCCACGCACCGAGACTAAAACGGGCATCGGCATGTGAGAGCCGAATAATGAGCACCTCGTGCACAGCGCCACACGGGGAGAAAAAAAAAAAAAGGCCTTCACTCCCTCGGTCTGACTCTCTAGCGTTTGGATGTGAAGTAAATTAAAGGGATCCGTTGTGAAATGGTTGTCGCTCTAGATGTTCCCATCTCAACTGTATCCCTTGCAGCGTGCGGCAAGCTGACGGGCATCAGCGACCCCATCACCATCAAGACGTCTGGGTCCAGGTTCGGCTCCTGGATGACCGACCCGCTGGCACCCGAAGGAGACACGCGGGTATGTACGGCTGCGCGCGTGGGTGAGAAGCTGAAAACCAGTTATTAGTTGATTGACAAGAAGGTGATCTGCATCAGACTTTACCAAAAGTCAGTATTTCCAGATTGTCTCTGTCTCTTATATTCTTCAATGAGATCAACAAAATGTCTCATGCAGAGATTGAGAATATTAGCAGAGTGCCTTGAGCAGGAGAAGCTGAACTTTTATGTAATAAGGGGTGTGTTTACTCACTTTCCTGTTCTCGGCAGATCAAAACGGAATTGGTTTCTGTTGGTTTGATAATCTTTCATCACTAAAACAAAAGGAAAAATGCCAGTGATAAATCTGTAGGGGTTTTAACAGGAAGCTTTTAAAAAGAGGGTTTATATGTCGGCTGTACGCTCTTTGTGTTCATAAGAAACATTATGAAGCGGCAAAGAGGCGTCACATGGGGGACAGCAGCATACCATACATGTCTAAATGGACCCTTCCCCTCCTGTGGGCTCATTGCAATGACAACACAGACTGTACTTTAAATTATCCAGCAGCCAGGGTGATATTTACTGCTGACTGAGATTATATCAGCATACTGTAAAAGCAACTTTTTTTGTTGGAACTAACACATTTTAAACTGAACACATGAGAGATGTGCGTCAAAGAGCGGAAAGCGGAGAATGAACCAAATTGACGGGAGGAGACAGTTCTGAGCAATGTCTTTTCATCTCTTTGTTTCCATACCGTGGACCTTTTTTTGGGTCCCGGACCCTTGGAGACCCGCTTCCGTGATATCAATCGTTCTCTGAGATGAAGGAACTGTTTGAGCCACTGGTTCGGGAGGGGGGTGGAGGGGGGCAGCAGGAAGCCGGGTGGAGGCTGAGACAAGTCTTTTATTTATCTGGAACGATGGGCATTACTCCAGCGGGGGGGGTCACCCTGCGGCTGTCACGGATCTGGATCCGGTCCGACTTAATTGGGATGCGTGTTGAGTGGCGGGATTTGTTTCATTCTGTGATCTGCTTAAAGGATTCAGGTGTTCTTGGCACACTGCCGACGACACGTGGGGGTGGTGGTGGTGGTGGTGGCGTTGGTGGGGGGTGTCTGGCTTCGAGGTGCTGCTGTGTCTGGTCCTAATTCACCTTTTTTTCCCCTCCCGCCGGGATGTTTAGGTCTGGTACATGGATGGTTACCACAACAACCGCTTCGTGCGGGAATACAGGTCGATGCAGGACTTCATGACGTCGGACAACTTCACGTCCCACCGGCTGCCCCACCCGTGGTCGGGGACGGGTCAGGTGGTCTACAACGGCTCCATCTACTTCAACAAGTTCCAGAGCCACGTCATCATCAAGTTCGACTTCCGCACCTCCTCCATCAGCAAGTCCCGGCAGCTCGACTACGCCGGCTTCAACAACGCGTACCACTACGCCTGGGGAGGCCACTCCGACATCGACCTGATGGTGGACGAGGGGGGGCTGTGGGCCGTCTACGCCACCAACCAGAACGCCGGCAACATTGTCCTCAGCAAGCTGAACCCCAACACCCTGCAGATCGTCAAGAGCTGGACCACCAACCACCCGAAGAGGAGCGCCGGAGAGTCCTTCATGATCTGCGGCACGCTCTACGTCACCAACGGCTACTCGGGGGGCACCAAGGTGTACTACGCCTACTCCACCAACTCCTCCACCTACGAGTACATCGACATTGCCTTCCAGAATAAGTACTCGCATATCTCCATGCTGGACTACAACCCGCGCGACCGAGCCCTCTACGCCTGGAACAATGGCCACCAGGTTCTCTACAACGTCACCCTGTTCCACGTCATCCGCTCAGAGGAGCTGTAACCACGGAACGCGGGTCACGAACGTGAATACCTTCTGTCTGTGTAGAGGTGTCCCTATATAGGAAAATATATAAGCCTGTACGGCGAGATCGTTCTATTTATAATATCAGACAAATTCTACTGAGAGACTGCATCCACACAATGGATTGAATGTGCATTTTTAATGAGACTGAAAAAAATATATAAAATTGAAGGGTTTCATTCCAAAATGTGATATGTTTGTTACAGAAAGAAAAGCTTTACCTGTTCATATCACAGTATCAAAGATGATTGTTAATAAAACCAATGCTTTTTGTACATAAAGGTCTTAATATAACTCTAATAGTTACCCATGGTAGACATTATTTTAACAGCTGCCCTGCTTTTATCAGAGGTATTTTATTTTGGAATGAAACTCTTTAATTGTTTGACATAGAAAACGATTGTAACAGTAGACTAATATATCAGATTTAAAACAATAAGATCAGATGCCAAAAAAAAGAAATCATCACGCCTTTTTTCATATTATGGAATATCAATCCAAGCCCATTCCTTCGGCTCCGGTTCCTCTGCAGAATCCCTCCCTGCAGAACTTCCCTCTGGGCCGACGGGGATCCCCGGACAAAGACTGCTGGTAGCAAACTGTTGGATCCCCGAGGCCTCGTGGACTCACGGGAAGGCGGGAGCTCAGTCTGGTCAGAAGACCCGTCGGACCTGACGGCTGCAGGCCCGTCATTTTGTGTTTATCAAGAACAGTAGCAAATCAAAATGTCCGTAGAGAAGCAGCAAAAAAACAATAAGAACGTCCACTAAAAGACCTGAAGGCACTGACTGTTGGCAGCGCTGTTGTTTGACATGATTTCCCCGTGTTAGTGACTATGTGTGAACAAGGCTTTCTTTGCATGAGTGTTTTCACTCCGGTCCGCTCTTCTGAATGTCTTTTGCTTATGATACCGTAAAAAAAGAATGGCGGGAGGGAGACGGTGGGGAACAAGGTAGAATAACTTTGCGGTTTGCAAACGTATTTACATGTTTTCCTGCTTCTCTCCACTTGGTTCCTCTTTAATTCATTTTCCTTGCAAACATGTTATTTTTTCAAATGTTCTTGTATCACTGTAACTGTTGGCACCGGTTTTGCCTCTCTGTGTTTGTTTATTTGGACTGCGGGGGATGATTCTATCTAGCGCACATATCTCTGAAGAAAAGGAACAAAAAAAAAAAAAAGAATGTATTGAGTATTGTATTCCGGGAACTTGGTCCTCCTATTTTCAATTCACATCATGCGCCTGTAGTAGAGAGAGGGTTTTTTATAGAGGATAATCCCGCCTCGTCCCGTGTTACCCCCCCACCCACCCACTGCTAGTGGAGGATAATGCTGTTTAAATGTATTCCCTTGCAGGGGACAAAAGCTTTTCACCCTTTTTGCGCTTTGCTGGACATGTGTTGTATCTGAGATGAGATAGTTAATGATTCGTGTCAATAAAACAGAGAAATCTAACGCTGGGATTGTTGCCTTAAAGATGCGACAGCACGAGTGCACGGCCGTTCATCAATTTTATATCAAAACTAATCCGCTTAATTCCTCCCTTTTGAGTTAACTCCTTCATTAAGATTGCACGGCGAGGTCTCGCCGGTTGTGGGAAACGATTAAGACCACTTAGAGGCTGTGTCACATGTTTAACGGGGTCTTGAAGCGATGCTGCGGATCTCTTGAGTGAAGAAATAACACCCTCTCCCTCTGGTGAATTACAAGTTGAATTCATACAGAGTAAGATGCACAGTTCCTTAGCTCACTGGCTTTAGCCGCTAGCCTTACGTAGCCTACTGGTGTAGCTGACGGAGGCACATGTTAGCTTTATTGCCACTTGGGCCAAAATGGTGGTTGTTCATTAGAAATCCAATGCAAAGGAACTGCAGATACACGCCGGCTGTGCTGATACCTTCGTCTTATTTGTTGTCTGTTGTCTAAACCCTATTTGTGTTTCCCTCTATCGACATTTCCTCCTGTGTTGTGATGTCTCTTTATCGAGGCAAAACTGAGCACTTTTTGGACGCTCAACATTTCCCCCCCCTTCTTTGTTCTCCACGCAATCTCGCTTCACCCCGACCTCCGCCATCTTTTTCATCAGGCCAGCCTTCTTTTCCCGCTCTTTGTTGCTCCCTCTCCGCCGCCGCCGCCTCTTAGCCCTCTGATGTTTCAATCGATGAATAAATGATTGCTTCTATTTTCACTCCCAGTGGTCGGGCCAACACCGGCTGCTCCCCGCTCCCCAGAAAGAATTTCGAGATTTGGGAGACACGGAGAAACACGCCCCGGCGGAATGTCTCGCAGCGAATGCCGCTGATGAGATGTCAGGCGGGAGCTGAATATATCTTTAAGCTGGGATTGGCGCATCAGGACGCTTGACAGCAGTCCCTCTGGTCCCCAAGCCCCCCCACCTCCATCACCCACCCCCACCACACACGCCTACGTTGCATTTCATTTCATTTCATCATTTTTAACGTTCTGCACCACCGTCTTGTTTACTGCTGACTTAAATAAGTGCACTTAGCTAATTATCGGGTTTACACCGATGTGCACGCCCTCCAAACGCCATGACTGCCACAGTAGCACTACTCGGAGGGTCGGGAAGGACACAGTCAGAGCGTCGACCTTGCTTTGGCCAGCTGTAAGGTGCATTATTCCCGCAAGGGCAAAACCACTCATACAAGTTTAGTGCGCATGTGCCAACACGAGGGTTTCACGAATGCTGCATAGCGCTGCGGTTTCCACGTTATATATTGCTGCAAAGTCAATAAGAAATGGGATGGTTTGTTGTCACGACGTTTGGCACCATGATACACAATTCACTCTTGAAAATGACTCTCAGGCCGCTTCTCTCTCTGGGCGTTGTGGACCCTGAGAACTCTGACTGCCTGCCAGACAGTTAGAGCTCTTCAACTTTACATGATGTTTGTTGGTGCAGCTGCCTGGTTAGCTCTGCACTAACCAGGCACAATAAGTTGCTAGAACAGGGGAACAGTGATCACAATTAATATGCGATTAATCACAATTAATTGCATATTTTTATACCATTACAAAGATCTACCAGGTATATGACATTTTTTTGAGCTTTAACAGATAGGTAGCTTCCCAACATGCATATTATGCCACAAATATGCACGCAAATGGCTGCTTTTGTTTTGCCAGTAACAAATTCAGCTCATGAGAATTGTGTGTGACGTGAATGGTTTATTCAGAGACGCAGCTTTAATCATCGCAGATCACAACCTACATGCTGGTCCCAAGCACCTGACCCTGAAAGGTCAGACCACTCTGCAAAACGGAGAATTTAAATGACAATTCTGCAATATTAAATCCATCCCCGGATTATTATTATTACTCCAATAAATGTACTGTTTTATTTAAGTTCCATTTTGACCAGAAGTTGCTGAAACATTCTGCAATCCACCACAGAGCAAAAGTTCCATCCAAGATACTGTATAAGAATGTGATTAATGCCTTTATTTCAGGAGAACCAAAAGCAGTAACACAATTTCCATTTCCCAGGATCTGCACTCAAGCAATTAAAGTGAAGCCCTTTATATTTAATGCAATGTGACACATGCCTTCTCAAACACGCTTCTTCTTTAATATTCCATTAAGAATTTTTGCATTCAGATTCCTCACACTGTCGGGGGAACAAAACAGAAATAAAGCCAAGGACTCACATGATCATTGAAGGTGGGAACAATCTCTGAGCTAAAACCGCTACAAGCCCTTTGTGGTTTGGAATAACAGCCAATGGTAAATCAATGAAACCATAAAGAATATAACTGAGGGAGAAAAACAACAGCAGAAAAGACTGTTCGTTTTAATTATGGTGCAATAAAAAGGCAAAGGGAGATTTTCTCGGTGCGGTTTGGTTCACAACTGTGTCCTTGGCTGCAATTCACCACCTGCTCTGTAACAAAAAGCATTTTCTTTAATGTGCTGTTATCTCAACGGCGCATGCATGTGCATATTTAATAATTGTTTGCGAGGGGTGAACAGCACAGTACAAGGAGACTTCCTCGTTACCTCGATTACCTGAAATGTGGCACATTCTTGTGCACCACTGTGGCCACTTAAACTGATGGAAACACACACACACACACACACACACACACACACACACACACACACCTGTACGGTCAGGGGTGAGAGAATGCTGAACAGAGAAAAGTACGGTGATCTTTTTCACTGAGATCCCCAAATCCTGTTTTCACATTGACATCCTAAAATTAAAATGTTCTATATTCGGGAAAAACCCATTTCTGGAACAAACGGGGGGGGGGGCCGAGGGTCAACCTTTTCGAGTGTGTGTTTCTTGTGCACATGCATGTGTGGTTGTATATTGCCGACAAGCTGCGGTGACAAAACGCGTGCCATCTGTGCACACGGGGGATTTCACACTCTTGTTCTTGCTCGAGTCGTGCCAGTATTCTCATCGGGCGCGCTGGCCAACCGTCACAGGGAAAGAAAGAGCAACGAGGCCTCTATGCCAGTCACATGGCCGCCACCCTCGTTTCCAATACTATACATGGCCAACACGTTGAGAGAGAGTCTCTCTGCCTGACGCTAATCAGACCAGGATCTTTAATGCCCTTAGATGAGTCCTTGGTGGAGGTGGGGGACTCGTGGGTTCTGATTGCCTAGAGGAATTTCTAATCCCTGAATCCAGACGATTTGAGGACAGGCTGCTTCAGAACGATGAATTATTCAGTATCGGCTGTTCACCTGGAGCCAACCCAAGCGGACGAGACCTACGTGTTGTGGGAAATTGAAACGTAAGAGTGTCGCTGACAAACCACCTTAACTCCCAACTTGTTTCAGACTCAGAGACTCGTCGGCTTGTGAAACGCACCACCTGCCGCCAGGTAACGGACCCGTGGAGAGGCTCGTTCTAGCAGCGCCGCTTTTTGGGCCTTTTCCGGATGTCTGACTTTCCCGGCGACGCCGACGTGAGATGTCTCACTTAGGCCGAACTCTTGTCAAATGTCGTCAATTTGGAAACTCATTGTGCGCTGTCCATCCATCTCGCTGCTCTGCAGCGCTGCCGTCTGATTACTTTCAAGCCTCGACAGACTGCGGGGGGGGGGGGGGGGGCGTTTGACGCGACCGGATCGATACCTCCGGGCAACGTGCCCCGTTTGCACCATCGACGCATAATTACGCGCGCGACCTCTCCACCCCAATCACACGTGCAGTCTCTGACCTGCGCTGTGAGGGTGGCGGCGCGCGGGTCAACACCACGCGGCGCTCCTTCTGCCAACGTCTCTGGCGGAATCAGTCATCGAGAATGCAAATTGGGAGGGACAGAGCAATGCTGAATCCCATCACACGCAGAGAGAGAGAGAGAGAGAGAGAGAGAACCTGGCTGTGTGGGAGAAAATTGACCGAATGTTACTGACTGAACCCTTTTTGTCAGTTCGTGTGCACGTGCGATGTTGGACGCCATCCATGAGCTTGGTGCGTACATCTCGGATTGGCCTCGAAATCACGACGAACGTCACTCTTTCTTTTCTGACGACATCATTCATGCTCAAATCAACCTGAAATCAGACACGTAAACCAGTGCAGGTCAATACTGATGCCTGCGGACCAATCACACCCCAGTCCGGACCGCCTGCACGTCGGCGGGAGCGCGCAAGGCACATGCGTGTGTTACGCAGTGTGAGATGCCGTGATGCAATTTCCAAAACCACTGCAACATCCGCACTCTGCGCCCCCCCCTCCCCCTCCCCTCGCCCCCACCTCTCTGCCCCCCAGGTGCACCGAGGCGGGGAGCAGAATGGAGCAGAGCCGTGTGCGGTGACATCCATCGCATGCAATGAATAATCAATGAAGACCATCTGGTGCATACAACAGGGGAGAACAGCTCCAATCGCCCCCTCCACGGTGACTCCCTCTCTCTCTGTCTGTCTCTCTCTGTCTCTCTCACACACACCTGTTCTCTCCCCCCCACACACACACACACACACATTACCTTAGACGCTGCGTCCTCTCGTCGTGTCCCCTGTACTTTTCTTCTTCTACATCTCCGTGGCCACGTTCCGCCCCACCGTGGCCTCTGTGACAGGCTCGTCATGGTGCTCCTCATTCAAATGCAGGGGTACGGTTCCCAGGGAGCTAATAAGACGACCTGTGGCCTTTTTAAAGGACATCCGGCTTTTATAGGACTTGTGGTAACGGAATGGGTTGTCCAATTATGCAATCTAAAGAACAACCTGTAGAGAGGAACGCTGTTTCTTAGACCGAATTTACTTTACCAAAGAGTTTCTCCCTTTATTCTCAATCCCCCATCCCCTTTTTTTCTTTGTTAATTTTACATTTGGTTCATATTTTGACGACTGTGCACCGGCTGTATTTGCTTCCTTCATTTCAGACCCCCTAAACGCTCCGATGTCACCTTCTATTTCCTCTCCGTGGTATCAAACATATCCAAAATCCTGCACAAACACCCCATATAGGGATCC